GTTGAGAGAGAAGCCAGTTTATTGAGTGCAAATGGCAAGTGCTTTTCCCCCCATATTATATGACAATTACTCTTGTTGTTCTATTCAAAAAAATTTCTAATATATTTTATTAAAATCAAGATAAAAATTTATTCTAAGATAATTTTTTTAAATTATTAACTCTATTTAAAAAATCAAAATTAAATAATTTTTTTAATTTTATTATATATATATATATATATATAATAATGTACTCTCTATCTTATAAATAAGATAAAAAATTATTCTATCTGTACATTTTAAATAGGACCAATGAGAATAAGTCTAAAAAAATTAAATCAATTATAGTAATTAGGTTTTTGATATTTTTTTAAAAATAATGACTTGAATATATTGATTCGGATAATTACAAGTTCATGGGTTTTAATTACATATAAAATATTTAAGTTCAAATATAATTCTTACAATGTAATTAGGACTCTTATTTAAAACTGTCAAATTAAATATTTACAATTTATTTTTTATAATTTTTTCTGAGATTTGTGGGACCTAAATGTTATTATTATTATTATTTGGGTATACGTTAGAACCATGCTTATTTAAGAGACTGACGAAAATTTGGCCAGTATTTTGAAGCAATAAAAAATAAAAAATTCGATTGTTTCCTTAAGCGGAAAGTCAGGACTTCCAGTGTAGTTACTGTCCATGAAATTCTGACCACTTGTGATGGAAAATTCTAAATTTAAACGAGACACTGCTAGATTAAATTTTGTTGCTCCCACTCATGGATTTATTATCATTATCATTATCATTATCTCAGAACTAAAATACAGTATATTGATAACTAATTCATAGTTTATAAAAAATATTACTTAAAATCTTAATTTCTTAAAAAAAATTTTACATGTTTTCTATTTTACCCTCATTAAATACTCTATATAAGTATTTTGATAATGATTATTATAATTTTGATATATCATTTTTTTTCAAAAAGGGTAATAACTGAAGTAAGGAAAAAGTTAAAAAAAATTATAAAAGTTATCCAATATTCTATATTTTGGATCAAGAAAGGTTTTTAGAAGATGTCATATATTGTGGTCAAGAAGGAGTAATTATGTATACAGGTACTCCTTCCAGTTCTATTTATAGGGTAGAAGAATAATATTTTTTTTCATATTTATAAGTCATATTATTAAATATTAAAAAAAATATGTTAAAAAGATAGCAAATATCTTATAGAGATAAAATTAAGAACTTATTAAATTTTGATATATAGATAATAAATAACATGAAAATGGAATTGGCCTTTCTTCTCTACAATAGAGGAACCACGGCATATTTGAATTGTTAAATTAGATTTAATAATTTTTAAAAGTATAATTTTAATTTAAATAGTTTATATTTGCAACCGAAAAGTAGGGAAAGGAAAACGTAGTGGAGAAACTCATCCATTTGAAGACATCTAAATAAATAAAACTAGAGAAGTAGTAATATGCAAGCATATCGTTCATATGTAATTTGGCTATGCTGACTCAGCTTAGTAAAACCGACAAAAACTTTTATTTTATTCATTAAATAAGTATCGGTCTTAAATGTAGGATTCTTTTAAGCAATTTGTTTTAGTCATTATAATTTATATAAAAAAATTATCTACTTTGTCTCCTACATAAATATTTTTTCACTAAAATACCTCTGGTTAATATCTAATCTTTTTGACTAAAAATATCACTCCCCCATTCTAAATATAGGTCTCTTTTAAATATTTATGCTTTGGTTATGTAATTTAAATAAGGAACCTTAACATTTAATATAACCAATTTTCTTAGCCCATACAATTAGTTAAAAAGGTTATATATCTAAAAATAAAAGGAATAAGAATTTATACACTTGGCTTTATATATTTAAAGGACTTATTTTCAATTAGGGCTCGAGTAGATATTTGCCTTTAAAGTTTTTCCACAAGAACAATTGCTATCATAAAGTATTTAAAAAAACAATGTCACCCCAATATCCACGTTTTTAAAAAATGGTACAAATTTGCTTTGTTATTACTTTGACAGTTAACATTAGTTTTTTGACCATCAATCTTAAATTTGGCACTCACATCACTTGCCACTTTTTCTTCTTCTTCTTCTTCATCCACCTTACACCATACATGTTGGTTAGTTTACCAAACTACTACCCCTCCTTTCCTCTTTGCATTTTCAAATACTCTCCCCTAATTGTAGGTAAACCTGTCAATTAAGACTGAGCCTCTATTTTAAAAAAAATAGTAATTCAGGCTTAAAAAAGAGCCAACCCTTTTAAGCCTAAAAATAAAAGGGCTAGCCCTTTTAAACCCTTTTATTTTTTAAAAAAATTATAATATAAAAAAAATAGAAAATTAAATATAAAACTAAAGGAAATAAATAAATTAGACTCATTCGTCCCTCCTTCATTCATTCATTAAGATTTAGCTAATAGTATTAGCTAAGTTTAATTTTTATTGACATTTATTTTAATATTGTTATTTGATATTAGACTTGAATATTTAATTTTTTTTATTTATTGTGATGTAAATTGATTTAAATTTATTTTCTTAAACTTAATTTTATGTATAATAACTTTTTTTAGGATTATAAATATATTTTTTAAAATTTTAAAATTGAAAAAAAATAAAAAAGGGGTCGAGGCCTTGAAGGCTGGCTCTTCAACCTTAAAAGCTAGGGCCAGGCCTTGTAAAAAAAAAAACTTGAAGTATGATCGGGCTTATCAAGGCTAGCCCATTTAGGTCCTGACCCTCTAAGGATCGACCCTTTAAGGTCAGGCTGATCCTAATCGACGGCTTTAATTATAGGCATCCTAATTGACCTTTGAAGAGTGAGAAGCTCATTGCATCATCTATATGCAACCAAACATGCACACTCATAGACCTCCTCCATTCTCATGCTGTCGTGCAATACAACCTTAGCAAATTCATTACCATTTATTCAAAAGCGCTTTTAAAAGCACATGCAAATATCATATAATAGTGACTTCTGATTGTTGTTCAAGATATATTGAGTTGATTGTGAATGTCACTGACTAGGAAATCTATGCAAGGATTAGGGTTCGATCATGGGATCCTCTACCTAGGTTTCAATTCTAGGAAGCTGCTGCAATTTGAAGGAAAAAAGGGACAAAATAGATACATTGATGAGTTCTTGATTATTGTTTCAATTTTGACTTCTTGATTCAAGTTTCAATTTTGATTTTTTTTTTTGTTTGCTGAGGTGTGTTTCTAAGCATTACGATGATGCATTTAAGGGGTAGTTTTCTATATTCATGTTGGCTTGCTCAATAGCTCACCCTCGAACCCATAGTAGCAACTCTTTCTCCCTTTTTTGCCGGCTGATTTTTGTTTTTTGTTTTGCTTGATTTCTCCTTTGGGTTTCTTTTGAAATCCAGGTTGTTCTTTTAAACCTAAATCACTCTTTTGATTTTTGGTTTGATTTTTGCTTTGATTTCTATCCCTTGATTATCATTGCTGCTAGCTGGTAGATGTTTTATTTTTTGGCTTTGAAGTTGATTAAAATTCTTGGTATTGGAAAAGGATGATAAGGAAGGAAGGAGAAAATGAATATGTGGCCATGATTAAAAAAACAAAAAGATTTTACTTTCAATTGTAGAATCCCGTACGGCTTGCTAGCAAGCATTTAGCATTCACAAAATCAAAATAAATAATCAACATGGTCAAATCATCAACTCGGAGCAATTTTATATTATTTTTAAAATTATTAGGGGTGATATTATACCTTTAAATACTTTAGGATGTCAATTATGCAAAAAACTTTGAAGATAGATTTGTACTTTAACGCTTCTAATTGAATCAAGATATGTGGATACTTTCTTTTAAAATATAAGGCCACAGTAAAAATTGTATAAAAAAACAGTTTAGTTCATGTCAATATATAAAAGGTTGTTACAGCCAAGTGGTGGGATATCAAAAGTTTGGACATATATATTATAGGTAGAGGCCTGGTGAGTTAGTTAATCAAAGGCGACCGTCCAATATCTCACAACAAGTTATTTGATTTTATTGATAGGTTTTAGTGAGTAGATAATTAACAAAGAACTTGTTATACATGAGTGAGAGTTCTTCAATAAAGTCAGAGTATACTGTGACTTTGCTGAACTTTCCATTCCAACATATGTTAAGGCCTTTAAGAATATTCATGAGTTCAACAGTTGTGCTAAGATATTTAAAGAAGCCCTTAATCTAATTTTATTAGTCATCTTAAATGAGTCCACAATAAGTAGCTGCACCATAGTCATTTACTAATCCATTAATGTCAATACTAACCCATCTTACTTTAGACGGCACCACCATTTTGCTTTCCATCTATTATTTTGAAGAGATAAACAATTGAATCTTGCTTGAAGATTGAAATCATTGAAAAGACATGTGAATCATTTATAAATTATTTATTCTAGATTTAAAATGCATTTTTATCCATCAATTATTTGCTTAAGAGCATGTGGTATCTTAATTATTTAAAAAAATATGACATCCTTTATATTTCGTGACAAAATAAGTTTATAAAAAACACTTTAGATATATGGATGGAGGAAGTAATTGCCTTTAAAATTATACACTCTTTTAATGTTTATCTTAATTTAATAATGTATAATAGGGTGTCTTTGTTAGAAAACCATATTAATTACACTATCTAATTAGGGTAGTTTTGGAAAAATTTAATTAATTATACTTCAAAAAAATCCAAAAAATTTTATATTTTCAGACATTTTATCTTAAAAAAATATCTTATATTTTGAATAGATAGAGTATATAGTATTTGTTTTTCTCCCAAAAAAAAATTGAAATTAAGAAAACAAAAAGAAATAAAAATTGGGGAGGACATTTTGGGGTTAACAAAGAAACAAGCAATAAGTCCAAATCTTTTTCAAATTCCCATGAAACAAACAGGATCGGAGTACGCTACGTCGGGAAATAGTAGTAAATACCCAAACAGCAAGCACACTGCCTCTACAGCTTTCATTTGAAATCCCTGTTATTGCTCTGTTCACGAGGTTGCACGCCTGTACTCTTTACTCCTCCACCTCGTCTCTCTCTCTCTCTCTCACACACACATTCTCTCTCTCTCGATGTGTTTATTAATCTCTCTTCCTCTTCATCCTTACACTAACCCTTTCAATTCAATTTTCATGCTGCATTCATGAAAATGTCAACTCCGGCGTCAAGAAAACCCAAATCATGGCATTACCCACCTCCACCTCCCACCCCCAGAATCCTCCACTTGCCTCGCCGGCCTCGCCGGAGACCCACCAAGCCACCCAAAGGAAAATCCAATTCCGGCGAGACTCTCGGGAGTGAGCGCAAGGGAAAGTTGGAGACTTTATTTGATCAAGAACGTCCAATGGCTCGAAATGTTCCGATAGTGGTGTTAGATTACAGTGGCGCAAGTGAGACGAGGAGAGAGAGAGTTGGGAGCAGAGAAATTGATGGCGGTCCTCGTGGTGGTGGGTTAGGTTTAGAAGAAGAAAAATGGAGATTTCAGGCGGAGATGTTGAGGGCAGAGTGTAATCTGTTGAGAATGGAGAAGGGAATTGTCATCAAGAAGCTTCATAGAACTCGAGCTAAAATGGAGAGGACTCTGAAATCTGCACTTGAGACCCTTGTTTCTGTTAGTAGTCTAGTACCCTCACTTTCTTCCCTTTTTGTTCCTTGAGTACTTCAATCTAGCTCTTTAAATGTATTTTAATGCCGCCTTTGATTCTATCTCCATCCAAGTTCTTAACTCCAAACCTACCTATCTGATTCCTCATTTATTAGGCGTGACTGTGAGTTAAGAGTCTGAGGTAAGCCATAAGTCACCAAGTTGGTAATATATTAGGTTTAATCCTAGTATTTGGATGAATATAGGATAATTGAAGGACAAACATGAGTTGTTCTTCTGTCAAATTAAGAAATTTGCTTTAAGTCAATGTTATGGTTGTTTGAATATCATATATAATAGTGTCTGCTTTAAGCATTTGTTCAAAAGCATTTCTTGGTTTACCTTTGTGGGTTATAATTTGAATTGAATTGAATTGAATTTCTTCTTCCCTTTTTGGGATTTTCTTAGCAACCAAATAGTGACTGATGTACCAAGTGGTTTCTGCATGCCAATTAGATACTGTCACTTTCTCATTGTTCTATGAGTTCACTTGCCCTCTTGTTGATTCTGATACTTGTCTGATTTTTAACATGCAAAATGGAATTTAGGGAAGAATCAAAATCTGCGAAGGAAAGGATGTTGATATGGTATTAGAGGAAGAGATCCAAGAGTTGACAGAGAAACTTGAGAAATTGCAGAGGAGATCAGGAGCTAAGGAACTAGAGGCTAGGAAAAACAACAATTTTGACAGACAAGTTTCAGTTCTTCGGAGACGTCTAGAGAAGAATGGAGGATCATTAGAGGAGATACATGTGAGAACGATTCAACAGATGGCTGAGGCAACCATGTCCATTAAAAATTGCAGCAGAGAGGATGGCAACAACATCATTTCAAGTGGGAAACTAAATGTAAGAGAGGGACCATATCTGTCTTCCATTAGAATCCTAAATTCTTGTCAAGACAATGAAACTGACATATTGGCTCCTCAATTATTATAGGTTGAGATTTTGAGAAGAAAAATGGAGGGATTGTCAAAAGGAATACTATTACAAAGTATGGAGGAAGAGTATAACTCAATGCTCTCCACAGCCAACAGTTCAAATCCAAGTTCAACCTCAAGCTCCAAGAGATTGGATTGTCATTTACTGTCTTCCATTAGAGTACCACATCAGGTAAATCCTCATTATCTTTAGCTTCTGTCACATGACTCAAGGCAATAGTTTTTACTCTATTTCAAGTGCAAACGCTGCAGGAAAAAGATGGCAGTGAAGGGAGTGTATGTTCTGGACAATGTAAGGCAGTTGTGAAAAGAATTGTAGAGCAAGTTAGAGCAGAGACAGAGCAATGGTCTTTGATGCAGGAGATGCTAGGTCAAGTGAGGGAAGAGATGGAGGAATTGCATGCTTCCCGGGATTTTTGGGAAGATAGAGCCCTTAATTCGGATTATCAAGTCCAAACCCTACACAATGCTGTAAGCTGCTATACTGAATTGCTTTCCGTTCTTTCATGTCTACCATTCTTTATTGGTCCTTGAAGTTCTTTTAATATGATATGACTGACTTCAGATTCTGAAACCTTTGAATCATGTTAAACTTCATTTTAATATCCTTGAAAGCATTTCACCTTTTGTGAGGAAGTTTGAGAATAATTACGCCTACCTTAGACAAGACTTGAGTTCTTCATGTTGATATTAATTTTGTGTCTTCCTCTTAGGTGCAAGAATGGAGACAGAGAGCTATCTCATCTGAAAGTAAAGCTAATGAGCTTGAAGCCAAGTTTTCGATCCTACGTCTTGAACTTGAGATGTTGAAGAAGGAACAGAATGCCGATGTGCAGAGGCCAAAAAGTCCTGTGACTTTATCGGATACACAGAATGAGCTCGAGAAGCGAATCGTGGTTTGTTGCACGAAAGAAAACAGTCACGCCATAGACAACTGCAAGAGAAACGAGGTCTCAAGAGACACAGAAAGAAGAGCACATGGAAATCGCAGCGTGTTTCGTGCTTCGCAACGATCACCATTGGCAGAAATGAGGAAGAACTCGTCGTTGTTCATGAGGTAGAAGTGGAGAAAATGGCAAAGCAAGTTGTCCTTTTGCATTGCCATGTTTCTTATCTTCAAATGCTGAGGAAAAGTTTTGTAACAAAGCTAGCAAGTCTCTGAGATGTATGGTTGAGAACTGCTAACATAAAACTACACCACCTAACCAATTGGGGAAGGTGTGAAGTGGAATGAGGTTTACATGTTGAGAAGTTTTGCAAGTCTTAAAAACTTGCAGTGACTGGGAAAGAACTCATGATCCTTGATAGAGATGTTCGTAGTCTTTCAGTCCTAGTTTCATCCAAAGTCTCTGCTTGATGTAGAATAGGCATGAGGGATTATGAATTACTAAGAGACTGGTCATTTAATGGGTTGTGGAGTACTCCATCCAGTCCAATATATAAATATTCTCTCCCAGCTAATTATAGTTCAAAATATAAATAACTTAGTATTTGCAATTTTTTTTTCATTTTATCCTTTGTATTTATCAACTTAATTTCTAAGGGTAAAAAAATAAAATAATATATATTTTTATGAGAATAAAAACTTTATGAACTTTATAAATTAGTATGCGAATTATGGTTGAAAGATATTTACATTATCAACTGAAAAGAGTATATCTTAGCCATCCATTCGTATGAGTTGCAAATGGATGGCTATGATGGACTCTTAATGTCTCTAACTAATTTAAAAATCTTATTAGTATGTGAATTATTGTTAAAAGATGTCTACATTATGAACTAAAGAGAGTATATTTATCCATCCATTTGTATGAGTTGCAAATGGATGGCTATGATGGACTTTTATTGTCTCTAACTAATTTAAAATTCTAAACACAAGAGCATGGAATCTAAAACAAAACTAGAATTATAAGTTTTTTAGAAAGCACTCGAGTAGTGAAATTTTACTTGGCATCAGATTAATGTGGAAAGGATATCTCAGTTAAGATTATTATTCAGGGAACATGATGTTAAATTTTCTTTATTCTAATAGGAAGAGTCAATTTAAATGGTTTTCTATATTGCAAAGGTTTTCTATATTGCCAAGCAAGCTCAAACGGTTGGGGCAGACTTAAAATATCCAAATATATAAAATAATTTATATAACCAAGTTTGGTTTTAAATTTTTAATATCTTGAGACTTTTGTCTTATTTGGGTTTACCAATTTGGAATATAAGTTGAGTTACCAAGTTGGTTGATTATCTCTATGTTTAATTAATTGATATCTATTCTTATTATAAAAAAACGTTATGATACATTATTCCTGTTAAAAATAATATTAATTAATTATCAAAAAATAATATTCGTTAATGCATATATATTGACTAAAATAATGATGAATTATCTATATTGATCTAAAGAGCAAAAATTGTTAAAAAGGAAAAAAGATTACACCATACAAAATAATATTAAATCAATAACTTTTTTATTGGCCATATTAACATAGACAAACAGAAAGAAAACAAACACATAAACTGATAAAAGTATAAAATCTAAAATCTAATGCCCGTGAGGATTGAATTTCAGTTATTCAAGCATTTTCAAAAACTACACCAACTATTTATCTTTTATTTGGAACACTATTAATTGAACTTTTCTGTTCACTCACTCTGCCTCTATATGTAGGTATTTTTTAAAAGCTTATTTTGTTATTAATTATAAGAGATATTATGATATTTTTGAGTGATTGGACAATTTTATTCATATCATTTTGAAAATGAAGGATATATTAATTGTGTGCTTTACCTACTATTATGACATTAATAATATTATTAGGAGCAAAATTGAAAAAATGTTATAATTTTATGTACTTTCAACTAACTAACAAATTCAGACAAAAAAAAAACTAAATAATAATTTTTTATTGACATACAAGATTTAATTAAAAATATTTTATATATAACAAAATGAGGGAGTCTTCTATAACTTTCAATGATCATTTATCTTTTATCATTTAAAAGTGTTTAATTTTTAATCTTTTTCCTCCCCCCTCCAGGGATGCCACAACTTTGCAAAACTTTAAAATAAAGATAGTTATTCAATGACTTATTATTTATTTCCTTCATGAAAAAAATATAAGGCATTTTTTGAGGAGTTGGATATTTAAAAATATAAGGCATTTTTAGTTTTTCGAGGTATAATCATTGCTTTTTTTTAAAGTGCCCTTATTGATAATTATTTTATATTTATTGGAGGGTATTTAATAGAGATAAATATGAAAAGATAGAGTTAGTTTAAAAGCAGATAAACTATTTTATTGAGAGGTGAGATTCAATTAAAAATATCTTATATTTTTGAACGTAGGGAGTATTTGAAACACTATTGCTGGATTTATTTAAAATTTGAGATGTCACACACACACACATGATAAATTGTATGTGTGTATATTAAACTTAAAATACAATAATCAATCTTTTAAATTTAAACAAACTTAAAGAAATGATTGCCCATAGGTATAACTAAAATAAAAAAAAGCGTTAAAAATACATTTTAAAATGTCACAATTTGATAAAAATTTGAAAAAGTCTATATATTTTTATAATAAAAAATTAGAATAATTTAAATATATTAATAACATAATAAAAATGCAAATGATGCGCTTGAAAAGATATTTTGAATGTCATAAAAATATTTTAAAATATTAATTTTAATGTGTGAGTATGTGTGTGTATATATTCCCATTATTTTTTATATATTTATTTTTGAAATAAAAGATTACTCATAAAAAATTCATCGACTTGGTAGATGTGATTTTTTTTAAATATATTATTTGGAGTCAAATCAGTGCCTAAAAGAGAAATCCATTGAGGCTTAATAGGGCAAAAAACAGAGTGTTGCCCGACAAGACTAGTCCTGGAAGAGTTTTAGTGGAATGCCGTGTTTTGATAGAGCGGCGACCAGCTCCAAGTCCAAGGCCACTCTCCTTGCTTCTGGAGAAGCTGGGAACACTTGCCTTGCCACTCTCCCTCAATGAAGCACACCCTCAATGCTCAAATCGGCACGAACAGTTATTGCTCCTCATTTAGGCCTAAAATGAAACATCAATCCAAAACTATAAAGAGAAATGAAAACTGAAATGACAAGCTTAAATGAAGACAGGTTTTAATCTGTTATCAAAAGAAGTCATGTCAACCCTTAAGACTTGGAGCAATTGGGTATGAGACACTATTGAGTGGATATGAGATCATTATTTGACGTGTCATGAATCTCACGAAGCCGTGCTAAGTGATCACAAATATTTCACATACAAATTTCAAATTTGGGTACAATGGTCTCAGATGGATGATTATAAAATAGGGTCAAATTATCAGAAACGGGAATGAACATCATAAACAACAACAACTTATGTCAAAAACCATCTCAGATTCATTTTTTTGAATTATTCTATCTTGTATTTCACATTTAAACTTAGATTTATTTTCAGTTTATAAGTTATAAACATTATGACTTTATATTTTATTTTTTATTAATCAAAAACACCTTTTACACTAATCTTTTTACATTTTTATATTTGGATAAATTAAGATAAAGAGCCTAAAGACTCTATAGTTATCCTTGAAATTATGCATCTCTAGCATGCTGAGTTTTATTATTCAAACATAATATTCAACTTGTGAAGAACATTTCTTTTGGTGCTATTGTTTGTTTGTTTGTTTGTTTGTTTTTTTAATAAAGGGCAGCAAGCACAAAACTGAAGCACCGTGGCGAGCACTAACACTCAATCTCAAATGAACTTGCCTTGAGCAATTTTAAATTGACCCAGCATCACCCCAATTTTACCCAGAGCAACCCTCAACAACCCTAATCTAGACCTTCAAGACAAATTTATTTTACTTTTCCCTTTGATTACTGGAGCTCAATTGTAAATACTTCTCAATAATGCAATTTCGTTCCTCCACGCATTATTGTGTACTTTATATTTTCTTAGTTAGCTTTGGTAATTTAAGAAAATTGTGGTAAAAATTTTTGGGAACTTTTAATCCTTTGATACACTTCTCACTTCGAGGATTTACTCGTTTGACATGTCTGACAATCACTAACGGGCAGACGCTTCTCACCTGAAATCCAAAATTAAACCACGCCAACACATACATGTTTGTTTTATAAATACCCAATAGAAATTTTTAAAGAATAAAGGTAATTTTTTTTTTACTCAAATCACTGTTCACCGCCTCCCAAGTCACAATTCAAATCACTTCAAAATGCAAAGTAAAGAAGATTTTTATTTTTCAGATCTTATTGATTTAAATATCTTTTTGTGCAAAATATCTTGCCCCAAGACTTTTCCCAACACTTCTATAAATAAGAGAGAAACAAAAAGTTCTACATAAACCTCCAATGAAATATAAGAGCTGAATTGCAGCGATCAAGCATATATGAGTTTCTTATTTTTGGGCAAAAATGTAAGTTACTTATTTTTTCTTTAGTCAACGATGATGCTTAATACATTTATTGATTTAAATGATACTCCATCCGCTCTAAATTATAAAATATTTTTTTTAAAATCTTAAATACTAATAAATTTTATTAAATGTATTTAACAATTTTATTTTTTTAATATAAAAATATAAACTTTTACAAATGATGCTCATTTAACAACCTTATGGATTATTTTTTCTATAATAATTTTTTTTTTGTTAATTAAATTAATATATTAAGATGTACATGTCATGATTTAATTTGATATAAATATATTAAATATATAAGGCTAAGTATATAAGTCTATTAAAAAGATAGAGGGACAAAAATTAAATAGAGAAAGAATGTAATAATAAAATAAGCCTATTTAATAAAATTTTAATTTTTTTAAAATATTTTATATTTTAAAATGCCAAATTTTTTTTTTAAAAGTGCTTTACAGTTTAGAACGGAAGGATTATACGCACACACAAATACTTACACATACAAACATATAGGCAGTGACAGGAAAAATAGTTTAAATTAATGATTATCAATTTAAAGAATTCATATTTTCTAAACATTGCAACATTATAATAATAAGGGAAATGGAAAGAGTAATTATCCATCATACATGTTCAATTAAGTGAATATATATTCAATTAGGTGATAATTACATTTTTTAAAAAAGTATGGATACAATGCATACACACACACACCATTTTCTTTTAAATATTAGTTTTCTCATCACATAGAAGATTTTGATATAAAATAAAAAATATATGCCAACTATAATTTACAATATGAAATGAAAATACTTATAAATAAATAGTAAAAAATATTAGCAAATAAAAAAATATTTATTTTTTGAAATATAAAAAATTATTTTC